CCTATGCTTGTAGTTTGATTAAAATTATTTGGAGGATATAGGCTGTGATTATGAAGTGAATTTGCTAAATAGAAACTTTTTTTTTTTTAAATAAAACTTTACGTAACATTGCAAATCTATTAGAATGACACGTACTTGGTGACTAACTAACGATGATAAAAAAAAATCTTAAATAAAATCATGAAGTAATTCAGTCAATGTGGGTAACCTCGCCGAAATAATTAGCGAGTTTATGAATGGAAAAAAAAAAACCTGATACGTATCTTATATAAACTCATTCATAAGGTAATTTGTTAAATCAATTAGTGAGTGTATAAAGGGACGAAAAAAACAGACATAATTCAAACTAATTCTTTAATGCCTCATAACGAAAACAAGCTGATAATAGATTCATCATTGTCTTTTTCTTTTAAGCGAATATATAAATAGAAGCAAAAACCTGACACAGACACTTCATACACTAATTCGGCAATGTTTTATAAGTTAATTCGTCGAATAACTAACGAAAAACAAACGGAAACAAAAGCATGAACAAATGCGAAAAACACGCACGCAGCATTGTCCTTAGAGCGACCAATGCCCACTCGCCTGTCACGTTAAAACTGCCTGAAATCTGAACTGAATTCCAAATACACCTGAAATAATGGTTCCAATTAACAGGAATTTAACTGAAGTTGTTCGTTAGTTTGCCTTTTATTTTATCAGCCACTCTTTTTGCGATCTTCCTAATCTTCATTTCCCCCCACAATGTATGGAGTCTGTTTCGTTGACAGCTGATGAGGTGTAAGTACTGTTGCAGCTCATTTTTCAAGACCTGGTCACGGTTATTTTCTTTTATATGATTTCGTCATTGTCTATGTCACATATGTACTGTCTCTTCCATATATGTGTAACTTATTATGTACATGAATTCATTAGGTCTTCCCCGCACACAGACACACACAAAAGCGCGCGCGCGCGCGCGTAGATATATTGATAATTAGATATATATATGGATAGGCGGAGGAATATGTAGATAGATAGATAGATATATGTAAATGTAGATGAAGCTATAGATCGATAGATAGGTAGATATATGGACAAATAGAGATATTTACATATAGATATATACATGTGCGCGCGTACATATCTATATCTGTACATATATTTATAGCTGTCTATCTATCTATATGTGTACTCATCGACGGCCAAGCTCATCATCATCATCCACGTTGTTGCATCTGAAGCATAAATTCAATATGCAATTGTAACCAAATCGAATTTCAACCTTAGAGGGTTCCTGGGCCACCGGAGAGCCGGCTGAGGGACCCCAGTCCCACTGATTTTTCCCTGTTTGTTTACACTTGACAGACAAACTCACACCTATCGAGTCCCTCCCCCCCTTCTCCCCCTCCTAACGTTTCCAAGGAGAATGAGGTCAAGCAAACGGCCGATAAGGTTATATGAGAACGTGGTTTAGATAGATATAAATGCAAGAGAGAAAGAGAGATGAAGAAAAGTGAAAAAGAAAATGAAACAGAGAAGATATACATATATATAATAAAGAAAAAAAAAGAATAAGAGAATGAATTGGCCTCACCTTTGATATTCGTCGTGCTATTTCGCTACATGAGGGAAAAAGAAGAATATGGGAGAGGGGGAAGGAAAGAAGAGGAGGGGAGAGGGTGAGGGGAGAACACCAGGGAAAGAGGGAAAGTGAACAAGGGAGAGGGTAGCGGAGAAGGGGAGAGACACAGGAGAGAGAGAGAGAGAGAGAGAAAGAAGAGAGAGAGAAATGGAGAGAGAGAGAGAGAGAGAGAGAGAGAGAGAGAGAGAGAGAGAGAGAGAGAGAGAGAGAGAGAGAGAGAGAGAGAGAGAGAGAGAGAGAGAGAGAGAGAGAGAGAGAGGGGTTCGAGAAGAAACACGAGGAAAGGAAAAGCACGACTTTCATCCAAAACTCCAGAATAGACACGACCGGACGACCCTTCTCGTTCCCCCTCCACCCCCCCCTCCCCACCCTCTCCCCTTCCCCGGGAGACGACGACTCAAGACAAATTCATTCTTTCGTGAGACGCTGCGAGAAGGAGGCATGTAGGGGGGTGCGGTTCGGGTGGGGTGGGGGTGGGGGGTAGGATTGGGGGGTGAGGAGGAGAGGGGGGGGTTACGGGGGACGTTGGAGAGAAGGAGAGGCAGAAGAAGAAGCACATATGCAGATAGATATAATAGAAGCAGGTGAATAGATAGACAGAGAGAGTGAGCAAGGAGGGAGGGAGTTGTACTACCATCTATCACGACCTTTTTTCCGAGATGCGGAAGCGGAAACGACCCGTCGGAGGGCTCTTACCCCTACCCTAGCCCCCCCCTACCCTCCCACCATACCCCTACCGCCCCCATCCTCTGCTACCCTCCCCCTCTCCCCCCCCCTTTCCCCTCCTACCATTCCATTCTGACCCCTCCTCTTCCCCTCTCTTCCCTCATACTCCGAGAAGTCGTTCCCGAAAACGACTTTGGGGCACGTGAG